TTTTTTTAATGCTTAGCAGGCATGTTGTGAGGTAGAAATATCAATTTTACAGAAATGAAATTTTGACACAAAAAATTTCCATAAAAGAAAAAGCTGGGACTCCAATCCAGGTGCTCTTGAACATTACAATGGGCTTTTTATTCACATAAATTCACATAATCACAAAACTAATTGGGCTTTTTTGTTCTAAGCTACAAGATTTACAAGATATTTGTGGCTCTACATGATTGTCTAGCTTTAAATATGAAAAAGAGCTTGAGGCTTAGAGTAGGGGTTCTCAAAGTGTGGTCTTTAGGCCAGCAGCATCAGCATTACTGGGAACTTTTTTTTTTTTTTTTGACAGAGAGACAGCGAGAGAGGGAGAAGCAGGCTTCCCGCAGAGCAGGGAGCCCCATGCAGGACTCGATCCCAGGACCCTGGGATCACGACCTGAGCTGAAGGCAGACGCTTAACTGACTGAGCCACCCAGGCGCCCCTACTAGGAACTTTTTAAAAATGCAAATTCTCACGCCCTGCCCCAAGACCTGATAAATCAGAAACTCTGGAAGTGGGGACACAAATCTGTTGGGCTTTTTTTTTTTTTTTAAGTATAGTTGATATACAATATTATAGTAGTTTCAAGTATGCAACATAGTGATTCAACACTCATATCCATTACAAAATAATCACCACAATAAGTCTAATTACCATCTGTTACCATACAAAATTATTACAATATTATCAACTTTCTTCTCTTTGCTGTACTTTACATCCCTGTCACTTATTTATTTTATAACTGAAAGTTTGTACCTCTTCATCCCCTTCACCCATTTCAGCCATTCTCCCACCCCCCTCCCCTCTGGCAAGCACCAGTTTGTTCTCTGTATTTTGGAGTAGGTTTTCTGTTTTGTTTTGTTTTGTTTGTTCATTTGTTTTGTTTTTTAGATTCCACATATGAGTGAAATCATATAGTGTCTTTCTTTCTCTGTCTGACCTGACTTAAGTCACTTAGCATAATACCCTCTAGGTCTATCCATGTTATGGCAAATGGCAAGATTTCATTCTTTTTTTATGGTGGACCAATATTTCAGTGTGTGTGTGTGTGTGTGTGTGTAATATATTCTTTGTTCATCTACTGATGGACACTTAGGTTGCTTCCATATCTTGGCTATTGTGAACAATGCTGCAATAAACATAGGGGTGCATATATCTCTCCAAATTAGTGTTTTCTTTTTCTTTAGCAAATGTAGTAGAATCAGTATGGTAGTTCTATTTTTACTTTTTTGAGGAGCTTCCAACCTCCACACTGGCTGCATCAGTTTGCCTTTCCACCAACAGTGCACGAGGGTTCCCTTTTCCTCACATACTGATCTATTTTAACTAGCCCTCCTGACGATGCTGATGTACAATCAGGTCTGAGCACCCCTGGACTTAAGTCATTAGACAAATATCTAAACCGCTGTCTAATAATCTTTACACTATTTCCAAACAGGAAACTTACATGTTGAGCACTTTGAGGTTTCCAGGGCAACCTGACAGGGTAAATCTGTTTTGTGCTTTATACCCCTGTTTTCAGAAAAGTGATGGATTAGCCCAATTGTGATTATGCTGGAACAGTAGGTCCCCATCCACTTGGAGATCCAGCCAGATTCCAATTTATCACAATTGCTTATGAACAAATGGCCACCTGGGAGCAGGCATCCTAACCAGGAAGGCCATCCCAGCTCAGCATTTGTCTTTGTCTGCCAGGATTTTCTTCCCCACCCTCATCCAAGTCCCTACTTTTTGTCTCACGTTACAGTGGGTCTTGAGCAAGCCTTGCAGTGAAGGCACTGAAACAGAAGGAGGCAGAAGTGGGAACAACCATGAGACAGCCATTCCTCCCATGGAATCGCCCCCACCAACAACAGCCCTCGCCCCTGGCCCCGAGCATCCTCACACAGCTCCCTAGAGCCCTGTAAGGAAAAGAACAGAGGTTCATAGATCACACTTTCCTCAGAAAAACTGGAGGAATCTGATTTTAGTCCTACATGAGAGTTGTGGTTTATGCCTGCTATCTTGGCGTATGTTATTAAAAATACATACATAAATAATAAATAATATTAATATAAAATATTCCCCAAATTATCCTGACTTAAACAATAAAATTCACCCTACCAAAAATCTACATTATCCCTTAGGGAGGCTTTTGCCTTTCCTGAATGCTTGTAAGTGAAAAAACCAAAAGATGTTTTGGAGGAACAGGAGAATGGGAGACTGTTCAGTACAGCTGGAGACCTTGAATGGGAGGGAAGAAGACAAAGGAGTGAATTTGTGGGTCTCCTTGGAGAGAAGAAAGATGATGCCTGGGAGTAGGCCCACAATTTCTGTCACTACGATAGTTCAAGGCCACTCCCAGAATTCATCTTCTGGAGCTTCCATCATGTTTACCCTCCTGCTCTGTCCTGTCAGAGCCCCCTTCATAGATCACTGAAACTTAAGACTTAAGCTAAAGTCCTAAGTCCAAATGTACTTAAGGCATATTTGGCTGTATGGCTGAGAAAATGGGGACTGTGTTGCTTTGTAAAGAAAATCTTTAGAAAGTATTCCAATCAGTATGAGGGTGTAACTAGGAACTCAAGCCTACGAACCACGTTTAAACTGAAAAGACCATGCCATCTGAAGTTATCTGCTGCACACAATATGTTCCAGTAACTTAAGGGCCCTAAGAAATAGTTTCCCTGCATATCCGCCCTTAGCAAGGATGCGTAAACGAAAGCAGCATTCCCCCGTGCTCCTCCAGCATACACATCAGTGCACTCTGACAATTGTGAGGCTGACTTAAATGATCATGTAAATCAGCAGTGATATGCAAGAATTTGTTTGCTTGCCCATACCGGACTGAATTGTGACTGTTTGTACTCCTCATCCTAAGACATGCCAATGGTATGTTACACTATCGGACATTTGGTTTTCCTTACCCATTCACTCTGTGATAAAAGTTGATCAATAGTCAGCCTCATTTTCCCCACTTCCTGCCTAGATCAATAAACATTTCTCCTTTAAAGAAAGGAGAATGCACACAGAAGTTGATCCCATGGTTTTAACTTACCTCAACCTAAAAGAAAGAACCAATCACACACTTTGATGCCATTGATTTTGTTTCTTTGTGCTCTTGTGAATAAATAAATTACAGTGCTTCCACTTTCTAAGTAAACTTTTTATCATTGATTAGTCCTCAGGGTCTAATTGACTTACATTTACTAAAAGACCCAATATATTGATTTTCAGAATGTGTAAACTACAAGACCAGAAAATGATGTACATGGGTATAACTTTTAATAAGTATACAGACTATTAAATTATATATTCATTCCACTGTTACAGTTCCCCAAAGGAACTCCCAGGCTCAGATCTCTGCAACAGGCAATACATGAAAATACCACTAATTATATTTCCATTTTTGATAAAGTTTTAAAAAATTTGTTCTGTAGATGTTAGCTAGGATTGTTTATAAAAACAGCTGCTGTTTTTATATGAACTCTTGATGGTGTGCATTTAACTTACTACCTTCAACAACAGTGCAAGCATTTCCCACCCAATCATAGTGTGGTATGTGCTTGCTTATCTCTCAAAGTTTACTCCACTGGTTTAACTGACACTGGACTTCCCACCCCACTCCCAGCCTCGATGAAAACCAGAAAGAGGAAGCAACTTTGCCTGACACTTTCCGAGCAAGAAAATTAGTGAATGAAATGGGCCTTTCTGGGTTTATGTTTACAGTTCTCCCCCCAAAAAATGTTGAAAGATTAATCCAATACTTTTACTTTGTCAGTAGCCACAAATCTTAATATGTATTAATATACTACCAATATGATAATAAAATAATTAGTAACAATGAAGTAGTGACCATATTTATAAAACACGTGCAGAGGGGCGCCTGGGTGGCTCAATTGGTTAAGCGTCCAACTCTTGATTTCGGCTCAGGTCATCATCTCAGGGTCCTGAGACCAATCCCTGCATCAGGCTCCAGGCCCCACCTTCAGATTCTCCCTCTCCCCTCCCTCTGTCCTTCCGCCACTACCCACCCCCCCCCAGCTCCCATGCTCTAAAAAATAAAAAAAAAATAAAATATGTTCAGAAATGCTTCTTATTCAAAATATATGCTTTCAATACCTAAGCTTACATCCTTCTATTAGAAAAGGAAAAAAAAAATTTAAAGTAAGTTTATAAAAAATAACTAACTGCCTTTTAAATGATATTAGACACACAGTCACCTAGAGATGTTAGCACAATCTTATTTTTCTAACTCTTGCGATTGAAATTTAGCCAGTGGTCAACTTGGGAAAGTTAACATTCAATGTGATATCGAAGATTGATAAGCAAGGGGTATTTATCTTAGTTTAGTTAAAAAATAGCTTAACCATCCAAAGGGATGAAAAGAGCTAGTTGATGTGCTTTATACAATACATAGGATTATGGTATGGCTTAGGGTAGTGCTTTTCACACTTTAGCGAGCATAAGAGTGACCTGAAATGGTTTTAAAATGCAGATTCATGACTTCCTTCCCGGAGATTCTAAACCAGTAAGTCTAAGATGAAGCTCCAGAATGTGCATATGTAACACCTAATCTCACCCTCAGGTTACTCCTATGAAATTACAATTCAGACCATTCTTTGAGAAACACCAACTTAAGATGACAAATGCAGGTTTTATTGCATCCAAAACCATAGAATCGTCAGATAAAATGCCAATCTTAGACCATCTTTCCGATACTTTATATTACTTGACTACAGTATCAAGGTAGACAGCATTTAAAGGACTGCTCGTAAGTTAAGGTTTAGTCATTCCAGGCACTCTTTTTCTCCTGTTGGTCATTAAAATTTGGCCTGTAGCTTTTAGATCTCATTGATGTTTAAAGGTCAAGTAGGCTTGAAATTATTTTTTAACTTTTCTATCTTTAAAATTGCCATTTAATATTGTCTCATCTAAAAGCAAAAAGGCATCACAGTAATTATTGTCTGTTTCTCTTTGGTTTCCAGGGAAGACGAGGAAAAACAGGTCCTCCAGGAAAACCAGGCCCCCCAGGACCACCTGTGAGTAAACAGTAGGATGACTGTTCTTTAAGAGAGCCCCTCTTTCTTCCTGTGTATTTATCTATGGATTATTTTACTCCCCTGTGGCTAATTTCCATCTTTCTACTGTTTAAAATGGTTATACTCCTGGGATGCCTGGGTGGCTCAATCGGTTAAGCATTGGACTCTTAGTTTCAGCTCAGGTCATGATCTCATGGTCATGAGATTGAACCCCTTGTTGGGCTTCGTGCCGGTCATGGAGTCTGCTTGAGATTCTCTCTCTCCCTCCCCCGCTCCCCTTCCACCCACTCGCTTGATCTCTCTCTCTCTCTCAAATAAATAAATAAATCATTAAAAAATAAAAATAAAATAAAATGGTTATACTCCCTACACCTCCCACCACAACACAAACCACAAATTAAGGGAGGCTAGTAGCTGTCTGCACACCTCACCCACTTCTTTCTTACATGGACAGGAACCACTGTACTGCCTACATGAGCACCCTAAGCCAAGTCTCCAAGTAGATGAATCCTGATCTGAACCTACCTGGCTCCATCGCCTTAGTTTCTTAATGTCCAGGCTGGTAGTAAGTTAGATATCTGGAGAGGCATGTCCACTTTTCATGATATAACTGTTTTGTCAGTAGAATTTTGTGGAATGTTGTTGCTGAAGAGAGCTATAAAGATCTTCTAGCCAATTAGCTCATATTTTTCTTTACCCCAATCCTCTAGAAAATGTATTCCTTTTCTTGTGGTTCTGTCAGTCCTTCGACCCATCAGAGTCTGATTTGTGTCCAGGCTACTCTAATGGCACTGTTCTCTCTTTGGTCACCAGTAATCTCTGAGGCGTGCGATTCCCTGGGCTCCTATCAGGCTTCATCTGATTTCACTGCTATACAGGAATTTACAGAGCTACCTGCTCTCTCCTTGAAACCCCCAGTTCTCTTGGTGTAGTGACATTGATTTTTTTTTCTCCTATCTCTGGGGCCATCCTTTTTTGTCTCCATTAACAGTGTTCTCTCCTCTCCTATCTATATGTTGCACGCATTAAACATTTCCAGTTTTTTGGGTTTTTTTATTTCAATCCAGACGTTCCTCCTGTGTTCCAGGCTCGTACTCTCCCACTTCTTGCTCACTGTCTCCACTTATAGGTCTCCTACACATTACAAAAGTAGCATGTTCCCAAACTAAACTCTAGAAATAATTCTAGATTTTTCTTTTTTCTCTCCCGCATTGTCCATATCCAAACAGCTCCTAAATCATGTCCGTTCTACCTCCGGATAACTCACAAATCCATCTCCTCCTCTCTTTCCTCATTGCCACTGCCTCCATTTGGCCCTTGTCACTTTGTATCTGTATTTTAGTAGCTGTCCCAGGGTGGGGCTCATTGCCTCTATCTTCTACGAGTGGAGTAATATCTCTCAATGATAATTCAGACTGTGTGACCCTTGGGCTTGAAATTCTAATACCTTCCCTCTCCTTCAAGGTGGATTCTACATCTTCTGCGTGTCATTCTGGGCCCTTCTTAGTTGGGCCTTGACTTCTCTTTGCCCATCCTCCTCTAAGTCCTTCCTTTGTAACCTGTAGTGTCATCTTCCCTTACTGTCTCAAAAATGCCATGCTTTGTGCAGCCAGAGGCCCAAGGAAGCTCTCCTCTGTCCAGCACTCATCTCAACCTCAGCCTTCCTACATAGCCTTTATCAGTGCTCTCAGTGTGTGAGGTGTCATCGTCCGCGATCCTTGCCATTGTAGACCTCCTGCACCACTGTAGCACATGGCACAGTGCTTCATACTGTTATTTTCTTCACAGGTCGGCCTGCTGCCCTGCAATTTTTTTGAACCTCTGTTTTATCACCATTGCCTAGCACAGTTTCTGTCATGTAGCATGTGATTATTAATTACTTAACGAACAAGTAAACAAATGAATATATTTTGTAGATACGAAAATGGAAACCAGAAAATAAGTGGCTTTCACCACCACTAGAGGGCTCCAGACCTAGCACCTTAGGAATTTCTTAGGATGCGGTAATGGATGGATGTGCCAAGTGATGAACAAGGTTGCTGTCCTGGCATTGATTTCATTTCATCCTCTTTCGCCATTCAAGTGAATTGTTCTATTGGTAATGTCCTGGCGTCAATGGATAGTGATTATAAAAGCAAGTGGGGAAAAAAGAGGCATAAATTGGAAGCAATTCTTTAAAGGAATTCGCTTCGTTGATTTTTATTCCAAATTTTCTGGCAAAACAGAGAACGTGTTGTAAGATTTGCAATAATTGTCTTGTGCTATAAAGAAGAAAAGCTGGTGAATGCAGACAGGCAAGATTAGACCTTCATGTAGCTTTCTAAACATATGATACTGCTTTTAAAACTGGATTAATTGTTGTCTCAAAGGAGGAATTTGAACGATGAAGGCTTTTGTGACAAGCCTGCCAAATGTCTAGGAAAGAAGATTACTCCAAGTCCTGGAATGAGTTCTCAACTATAGATCAACTGAGTTTACTGAAGAATTTAGAAGATTAAGAAGTATGCGATTCTATGAAAGAATTTATAATATTCAATTCCACCAGTTTTAGTTTATTGCCAGAGCATTTGGGGAAGAGAGGTACTTATTTTATTTCAAGTATTGGATTTAGAATTTCAACTCAGCTATGGGTCTGATACAGTGTTTGTTTTAAATCCTGAGTACACAGTATTTAAAAGTGGTTTATTATCTTTTGTGATATAACAAAATACTGATTGTTTTTTTAATTTTATTATGTTAATCACCATACACTACATCATTAGTTTTTGATGTAGTGTTCCATGATTCATTGTTTGAGTATAACACCCAATGCTCCATTCAATACATGCCCTCTTTAATACCCATCACCAGGCTGACCCATCCCTCCACCCCCCTCCCCTCTAGAACCGTCAGTTTGTTTCTCAGAGTCCATAGTCTCTCATGGTTTGTCTCCCCCTCCGATTTCCCCCCCTTCATTTTACCCTTCCTACTATCTTCTTCTTTTTTTTAACATATAATGTATTATTTGTTTCAAAGGTACAGGTCTGTGATTCAACAGTGTTTTTCTTCATAGGTCAGCTTTTATTTTAAAAGAAAAGATCTTAAATAGCTCATTTTCTGTTTAAGAATTGTGGTTTATGGAAATTCTTCATCTTTTTGATTCTGCGATAACTCCTCCAGTTGACTAAAATATCTTTTCTCTAATATAAGTATTATCAAAACTTTATGTTGGGGTACGGTTTTCATCCTGTTTTGGTTTTTTTTTAAGTTGTTCAGATGACAGGTTGAATGGATGACCTGCATACCAGCATGCTGCAAAAAATCTTGCGAGGCACCTACTCATACTTACAGGACTTAGCTAAGGGCAACATTGCAAGGGAAGGCAAATTAATAGGCTCCCTACATTTTTCTATGCTATCTTCATGTTTAATTTTTCTGAACATAGTGTATTTTAGCAAGAGGACTGTTGTTTCTCAAATGGGTAGAAATAAACAGAGTTCTTTGAAAACAGTCCTTTTAAGATCATAGTAATTCAGATCTTAAGAAAATGAGCTTATAAAAACATCGACCTGCTCCTAATTTACACTGTTAAGTGATGTCACAAACATTTATTTAAGGCCTACCATGCACCTAATACTCTGTTAGGAGCGGGGCTTACAAAAATGAATAAGACATCATCCTTGCCCTCTGGGAATTCAAGTTTAGTTTACAGAAGTGTGAACAAAGGAAGAGAATTAGAAGAGATAGTGGTTGAGATGGTTTCCTTCAGGGAATTGACAAACCGAAGCGTAAAAATTGAGCCTTAAAAAAAGAAGGAATTCCTGCCAGTTACAACAGAACCTGGAGGACATTTTGCTAAGTGAAATAAACCAGTCACAGAAGGGCAAAGACTGCATGATTCCACTCATATAAGATCTCTACAATAGTGAAACTCAGAGAAGCAGAGAACACATTAGTGGTTGCCGGGTGCTAGGGGAAATGGGAGTTGTTATTCAATGGGTGTCAAGTTTCAGTCATGCAAGATGAAGTCGTTCTAGAGATCTGCCATACCACATCGTGCCTATAGAGTATCATGCACACTATCGTGCATTTTGAAGTTTGTTAAGAGTATAAATCTCATGTTAGGTGTTCTTACCACAAAACAAAACAAACACCTAAGAGACACAAGGAAACTCTGGTACCTATTGGATATGTCAATTACCTTGATTGTGATGAGAGTATCACAGATGTTTTCATAAGTCCAAACCCATCAAATTGTACACATTACATATGTTCAGTTGTTTGTATATCAATTATACCTCAATAAAACTGTTGAAAAAAAAGAGTTGAAAAGGAGCTGTCCAGTAAAACAAATAGAGGGGAAGGAGAGAGCAAACTGAGTACTGCTGGTGGAGGAAAGCAGCCTGAGCGAATACAGAGTACTGATGTTGAGCCCTGCCAGGTCCTGGTGAACCTCACATGAAGCCCCATGAGGCAGGTGAAACTATAAAAATTCATGGAGAGTTCTAAATGGGGAGTCCCATGGCCAGATTTCATTGATAACATCCCTCTAGTGGCAGGCATGGCAGAGTTGGATTGTTGAGCTTAGGCATGATTCACTGTGGCTATCATAGTATTTACTATTTTTTAAATTATCGGCAGAGCATTTTTTATCTCTTTCAGATGTCCCATGGAGCTATTTGTCTTTTGTGACAATTTATATATAGCTTAGGAGATATCCCCATTTATTTATGGACATATTTAGATCAAAATGTTGTTGTTTTTCACTTATTTGTCTTTTTCAACATTGTACCCTAAGTGAAAGAAGCCTACTTCACAGGAGGAAAGGAGGTAACAAGAGAAAGAAGGAAAGGTTGGTGAAGGCGAAAATCTTTCTAATTCAGATTTAGAGATGGTGTATGACTCACCCTAGTGGCTTGCATATGAGATTCCTAAAGCCCATGTTAGAATTTCTTATGACAATATGAAATAATTTTAAAATATTAATTTTATCTCTCTTAACAAACAGTAATCGAGTAATA